CCTTGTGCTAAACTTTCAGATCTATTTTTTACCTCAGTGGTCTTTGAAACTACTTGGTTTTTTGTGGTAGACTACAAAAATATCTTGTAGCTCTTTTTTGAAGGGATAGGGGTTACTGRGGATTGAACCTAGGGGCACTTCACCTCTGAGCTATGCTACCATTCCTTTTTTACTTTTTATTTGTGAGATAGGGTCTCACCAAGTTTCTGAGGCTGGCCTTGCACTTGAGATTCTCCTGCCTCAGCCTCCTGAGTTGCAGGAATTACAGTTGTGTACTGCCATTCCCAGCTATTTTGTGGCTCTTCCTTGTCAAGAGCAGGAGTCTATTTCCCTTCTCTGGGCTGAATATCTGATTTGCTTTGACCAGTAAAATGTGGCAGAAGCAATACTGTGGAAATTCTCAGTCTGGGCCTCAAGAAGCCTTGTAGCTTCTACTTTTGGCTCTTGGAATCCTCTGCCACCAAATGAACAAGCTCAGGATGAGCCCAATGGTGAATGAGACCACACAGAGTTGAGAAGAGTCATCTCAGCTGAAGGGCCYCAAGCACAAAGTTGTCCTGCCAGTTGACCATAAACACACAAATCATCCAGGCCAAGACCTGAAGACCTACCMAGCTAGACTCAGCCCAATTTACTGACTCACAGAATTGTGAGCAGAATGGTTGTTGTGTTAAGCCATTAAATTTTGGGTTGACTTGTTATACGGCAATGGTAACTGATACAGCCTCTCTGAACCTAGATTCAGAGACTCTTTGAAGTTAAAAATAAATGAGCATAAGTTCAGAGGCCATTGAAAAGTTTACTGACAATGGCTTATTCATCTATTCTGCACCCTACAAATCCAAATCTTATTCATTGTTAGCACCCTTTAAACTCAAATGGGTTAAGTTTTCAAGCAGCTAATGATTAATTGGTCCAGGCTTCCAATTAGAACTTTACTACTGCTTTGAGGCATAGTGTAGAGATAGACCTGGGAATAAAATTTGGCAACTTTTTACAAGTGATGGACAAAAACCATATATACTGGCAACACCAGGTGTTATGAAACTTAGTCCTTGAGTTTCAATTACATTATTTGTTTGTTTCTTGGTCCTGGGGATCGACCTCAGGCCTTACTCATGCTAAGCATGTACTCCACCACTGAGCTATATCCCCAGCCCCTTAACTACACTGCTTTGTTTTTGTGGTACTGGGGATTGAACCTACGGCACTCTACCACTGAGCTACATCCCCTGTTCTTTTTATTTTTTATTTTGAGGCAGGGTCTTGCTAAATTATTCAGGTTGGCCTCCAACTCACAATTGTCCTGTCTCAATCTCCTGGGTAGCTGGGATTATAGGCGTGTGCCACCATGCCTGGTCGGACTACATTGTTTTTAAAAGCAGTTTCTAAGTCTTGGGAGACAGTTCAGGCAAACTGTAGAATCAGCAATTTAAATATGTACAAAAAGGCTTTAAGGTCTTCTGTACTTTCTGAGCATGACTAAGTTTTAGCAAAAAAAAAAAAAGTAAGCATGCCTGATATCTAACTGGATGGTGCTTAAACAAGGAATAATGAATTTCTGCTACTGTTCAGAAAATTTGTGGATCACCATAATTCTGGAACACTATATCATAGTTTTGGAATGTCACTTCATAGACTAAATAGGCTTTATCTGTAAAAGATCAGAGTTAACTTGTCAAAATTGAATTCACCACTGTAGCACTTCGTCCTTCACATCAAATTGTTTTTAGTAACATAAACATAACATCAGTTATTCACAAAACAAATGTTCCAAGTTCAACGAGAGATATAACTCTACWTTAAATGCCAATGAAAGAAAGTTCCATTATAATAATTATCATCAGCTAAAAAAGACTGAGGTACCAAAAAACCAGTATCTTTCACAATGACCTTGCTTTAAGATCCTAGAGCTCAGGGCTGGAAGTATATAGAGTGGTAGAGTGCTTACTTAGCACGTAGGAGGCCCTGAATTCAATCCCCAGTATCAATGAACCTGAAACTTAAAAGATGCTAAGTCACTTGCAAAAAATTAAATTGTACCTGGTGACTGAGTTGAATAATGGTTACTCAAAAATGCTGTGGCRTCAACTGGACATTAGCCATGTTCATCTACAAATTTAGGTGGACAAAAGAGATATGGATCACCAATGGAAAAATAAGGAAGACCTACAGATGATTCTGAATATTTTTTACACTTGGGATCTTAGCCAGAGAGACTAAAATTAGTGAATAGAAGGTCCAAATACAGAGTGTGACAGGAACTACTGCATAGTTTCTGGAATTTGTAACTATTGTTGTCCACAACACTCCCTCCATTTGATTCTACTATTTCTCAGATCTTGGGGAGGGGAAGGGTGTTCTCTCTCTCTCTCTCTCTCTCTTTCTCTCTCTTAATATTTTTTTAGTTGTAGATGGACACAATACCTTTATTTTATTTGTTTTATTTTTATGTGATGCTGGGGATCGAACCCAGTGCCTCATGCATGCTAAGCAGGCGCTTTACCACTGAGCCATAACCCCTGGGAGGGGGTGTTCTCTTAATTCTCAGGTGATTCTAACTTCATTCCTTCATTCAACCTAAGTGTGCTGAGAGCCTACTATGCCAAGTCCCATTTCTTAGGAGATGATTCAGCTATACATTTTCCCCMAAAAAGGGACAAAAGGATGCAAAAAAATAATAATTGTAACTTAGAGGATTGCTTAATCCATGCAAAAAACAATACATATTTCTGAAACACACATGCAGATATATTTGTAGCTCATTTAGGATGAATTCAGTGAAAAGTGGAAAAAAGGTCTTTTACTGGTACCTGTATCCCAATTCTTCACTGAGATGGATCATATGAAGGATATAGGATTCCTTGCTTGTTCCAGTGAGGCCAGGTAACAATAAGATAGTAGGTCTGGTACTGCCATCCGAATAACACACACTGTTATCATTATCAAACCAATCCAGTGAAATCTGACCTCCATCAGCAGTTTTAATCAGTTCACTGAAAGGAGCAATTCAAAAGATACTACTCATCAAGTGTTTCCAGTTCTTTTTTAATTTTAGTGTCTTAATGCTATAAATGTACACCGTTATTTGGTCATCACAAAATGACTTTTTTTTCAGCAGTCACATGCACACACACCTATATATGATTTCCTTTCATCACAAAGATGTTATAAAGATTAATACCATAATGTACTTCTACCAGCTCAAGAAAAAGTTTGTCTATAAAAATGAACTTGAAAGCACTTCAAATATTTATCTTAATCATTTCCTCATTACTCTAAAATATCTAGCATTTAACCCCTATTTGATTGAGGTCACCAGATAACTCAACAGGGAATTCTAAATAAGAAAAATGCTCATCTGATCACTGCTCTAGCTCTTTTGACTCAATAAATCTCCTCACAGAGCAGAGTATACTACAAAWTTTTTTTTMAKAGTAGAGATTAGAAATTTATTAAAGGACAGAAGAAAAGACTTCTCCCGGAGGAAGAAGGGGACCCAGAAGGTGGAATCCCTATACCACAAATTTGCTTCTTAAATAATTTAAAGTACTTTTCATGTAGTAACAATGAACTTAATAGAATTTTCCCAAATAGTAAAAATTTCAAGCAACAAAAGGAACTCCAGACTAGATGACTCAGGGAAATTAATAGTAGGCACTATTTAAATCCCAGGTTAATGATATTTTCTGGATCATACCTTTAACACYTCAGGGATATTATCACCAAGAACCCATTTTGCTTGTCAACATGAAGACCTTTTACCTTAAAGCAGTCCAGCACACAAACCTGAAATAATTGGCATCTTTCTCACCCCAGTATGTTATGTCAGTATGTTACCCATCAATGAGTTGGTGCATATATCATCAAAGGGTCTAAGTCTTCAGGGACGGAGGCATGACAAACTGGAAAACACTAACCCCCAAATACTTCTCTCATTTAGAAATAAGCTATTTGTGTTAGGGCACAACAGCGGGGTGGGAGGGGGAGCAATAAAACAATAATTTCCCGCAGCTGGAAATAGGATGGAAGATATCCCTTCTATTTTCCTTCKTTCTGTCTTATATACTTAGTAAACCTGAGATTCTACTAAGAACTGGAAAACTAAGAGTATGCAAAACAGAAACAAACAAACAACAACAAGCAAAAAAAATGATTTTAGGAAAATGACTGAAAACGGACATCTACTTACTTCCTGTACTGCACCGGCGGCTTGGAAGTGATGAAAGGTCTCAGCAGTGTTTGTCCTCGACTCTCCCAGCACCAGACCGTAGGGTAATACGTTTCTGTCACCACTGGACAGTGGTTCTGCAGGAAGCGGTTGAAACTCTCCCCTCCCGTCACTAACTGGGGTTTCTAAAGGGAAAGACAATATTAATGAAGGGATCCGGCACAAACCAAAGTTTCTGCCAACCCCAAACAAGAAACCAGCAAGCCTTGTGTCCCTCGCACGCGCAACCCCTCCGATTACATTTCCAGGAAGACTGATGCAAAGAATCCACAGTCACAAGAGTGATTTACCAAATCACTGGGGGAAAGTCAAGAGTTAAGGTAAGGGAGTCATTCTCCAAAGTGCTACAACACGCGGAGCAGCATTGGGTAGCGCCAGCGCTTCGAGGTCAGCAGGGTCGGGGCTGATGTCCGAGGACCCCCCTCCTCGGTCCCCAGCTTCAGGCAGGCGGTCAGGGGCTGGCCAGCTTTCCCGCGCGCGCCCAAAGGGCTCCATCAGAAGCCGGGGCAAGGGCAACCACTCGGGAGCAGCACGCTCGCTCGTCCCTGGGGCTGTCCACCCTCCGCTGTCCTAGCGGCCCTGCGCCAGGCGCCCGCGCCGCCCCCGGCTCACCTTGGCAATGCTGCTCAGGTAGTAGCAGGCATACGCGACGCTGAAGCCCAGGATCAGGGATAAACCCACCCCCGAACCGAAAAATCCAACCCGGATTTGGTGCTCCAGGTAGAGGGAGAGCTCCCGGGAGAGCATCCGCAGGTCCATAGCTAAGCGCTGCATGGCCCGGGGAGCGGGGTGCGCCGCTCCTGCGGCGGGAGGAGAGCCAGTCCGCGAGCGGGCGAAAGCGGGTGCCGTTCCGCCGGCGCCCTGGACAAGAGCGTCTCCTGCGGGGGGAGCGCAGCTTCCGCCAACGGGCGCGGCAGAGTGGCCCTGGGAGGCGCCACCAGGCCCTCCGGATGCCGCCGGCTCCGCCCCGGCCTCCCCGAGCCGCCCCCGCCGCCAGCCACTCAGGAACCTTCCAGAGGCGCGGTGCCCAGCCCAGCCCGAGGGCGGGCGGACCGGGGTCTCCCGGCTCGGTCGCTGGCCGCCGGGGCAGCCCCTAGAATGGGGAGAGCGCAGGTGAGCCTACTTGCCAGAAGGAAACGGGCTGGCCGCGTTGCTTCAGRTCGGGGGCGGGCACCTGCTCGGGTGACCTTGACCGATGCCGCGCGGGTCTCGGTAAACTAGCGGTTTGCTGTGAACGGGAAGCGTGCAGAAGCGGAGACTGCCCTAGGTAGTGAAGGAAGCCTACATCCGCAGGAGTTAGGTTGCCCTCRACTGTCAAAAGGGAGAAGAAAAAAAAAAAAACCACCAATCCTACGAACATTCACCAGCAAGGACGCTCACACTTGACTTTAAATCTCTCGTCACTCTTTTTAATAGCTAAATGAGTTRAATGAGAAGTGGTTCTTGAACATAAGTGAAAAGGTCAAAAATAGGAAGTAGGATTCAATAAATGTCAAAAGCTTATTTGTGGTTCCTTAATGCTTTGCACTTAGAGATGTATGGGAAATTCACACCGATTACCTAATGTGCAGACAGGAAACTGAAGTAGGTTCTCCTACKGCTAATTTATGGCAACACGACAAAGGTCAGAGAATATTTAAAGGCATATGAAAGTRTTATAAGATTTAACAATCTGTCATTATGAACTCCTCCCTTTCAGAAGTGACAAAGGTGGYGAGATTTCAACAGGCAAATTAAAGAAGGTAAGGGCAGGAATAGACTATGAAAAATATCACAGAATTGTCAAATAGTTCCTGAGGCTGGCCTGGAACTTGGGAATCCTGCCTCAGCCTCCTGAGTAGCTGGGATTACAGGTCAGCACCACCAGGCCATGATTGGCATCATGGTTTATAGAAAGTATGCAGACCTGGGAGTCAAATACAACTCTAGGTTCAATACATATACATAAAATGTAGCTCAGGTTAATTGGCATATCTATTATCTCAGACACTTGTCATATCTATTATCTCAGACTTGTCATTCAAAATCATGTCTACTATTTCCGAAATATTCAATTGTCAACCATAGTAGAATAGTAGATTAATGATACACCTTAGTATAGGGAAATAACATGAGCTAGCTAACATTGGCTTTGATTGTTGCCAGTACCCAGGATAATTTAATTATTTTACTGAGCCTATTTTTTTCTCTTAAACCTATAAAATATTAATTTCTACTTTATAGAGTTACTGAGATGACTAAATAAAATAATGTATGTATTAGTAATTCTCACTCCTTGACTCATGCCTGAGCACACACACCTAACACAAGTGCCACCACACTGGTTGCCATCCCTGACACTTTACATGCAACATTCTTTATATTGCCTGCACTTGATTTCTGCTCTGTGCACCTGATTTCTGCTCTACCTACCAATAAATGCATATTTCTTAAGTTTAAAATTTTTAAAAAATMATAAAATTGTCTTGGTCTGGCTGCTATAACAAAATACTAGACACAAACAGACATTTATTTCTCATTCTTYTAGAGGCTGGAAGTCTGATATTAGGGCAGCAGCATGATCCGATTCTCAGGAGAGCCCTCTTGCCTTGCAGATGGCTTCCTTCCCCTTACCATGATGAAGAGAGGAAGTTCTGGTGTCTTTTCCTCTTTATAGGGGCACTAATCCCCCCAGCATAGGGGCTGCACCCCCATGGGCTCATCTAAACTCAATTAACCTGCCAAGGACCTACCTTATAAAACCATCATGTTGGGAGTTAGGACTTCAATATATTAATTTGGGAAGGGGCACAAACATTCCACAGCAATATTTCATAGGCATCATGGTGTGTTGAAAGTTTGCTGACCTGGGAATTTTTTTTTTTTTTTTAAGAGAGAGTGAGAGGAGAGAGAGTGAGAGAGAGAGAGAATTTTTAATATTTATTTATTTATTTTAGTTCTCGGCGGACACAACATCTTTGTTGGTAAGTGGTGCTGAGGATCGAACCTGGGCCGCACGCATGCCAGGCGAGCGCGCTACCACTTGAGCCACATCCCCAGCCCCCTGACCTGGGAATTAAAAACAATTCCTCACTCATTCACCAAACTTTGGAAAACCATCTGCCTTCTTGGGGTCTCAGTTTCTTGTCTATAAGATAAGATGGTTGAGATGGAAGATGTCTTTTTTTTTTTTTCCCTGTTAGATGAAAAAATGAGAGCTCAGAGAGTTTCATTCACTCACTCAACTAGTTTCTTTTTAGGTGCTTACAAGGCACTGAGGATCCAATGAAGAATAAGAGATCAAGCTCTAACACAGCTGTGTTTAAGCGCCTCTCACCCAGCCAGAGAGGTAACTCAAATCGCGTGGGAGGATGGCCTCCCACAGAGGAGTAAGTACTTACATTGAATTAAATGTAATGACTGGAGCTAGGCACCATAGTGTATGCTTGTAATCCCAGTAGCTCGCGAGGCTGACACAGGACAATTGCTAGTTTGAGGCCAGCCTCAGCAACTTAGTGAGGCCCTAAGCAACTTAGCAAGACCCTGTCTCAAAATAGAAAATCTAAAGGCTGGGGTAGGAATCAGCTGCAATAGTAGCACAGGGCTCTTAGTAACAAGCACCAAAAACCAATTGGGGGCATAAGTAGAAAATAAAATTTATTATAATGGCATTTGGTAGCTGATGGAATCTCTAGAGGGTCCAGAAAACCAGGCTTGGAAGTTAAGAACAATGCCTTAAAAAGTTGTGGACCTGGTCTTATGATGACAATACTCCTGCCTCTTCTGGGCTCCACTCCGTGGTTTTTGGCATCCACACTAGTTACACTAGGCCCTGGATTCTGCTCTGAATCCCTTATACTTATGTTTCTGTTTCTTGCTAAAATGGGTTTCCCTGTGACATCTGCCTCCTTGATTCACATGTGCTTATTCAGTGTCTTGTGTGAGCCAGGTGCAGTGGAGCCTTCCTGTAATTCCAGTGACTCTGGAGACTGAGGCTGGAGGATTGCAAATTCAAGGCAGCCTCAGCAACAAGCCCCTAAGCAACTTAGWGAGACCTGTCTCAAAAAAATAAAATTAAATTAAAAGGGCTGGGGATGTGGCTCAGTGGTAAAGCACCCCTTGATTAAATCCTTAGTACCCCCCAAATTGTATCAAGTTACTATTAATATAGTATTTGCAAAAAATAGTAAACAGAACTTTATTAGTTACTATTGTTTCAAAATTGAAAGCTAAACTAGGCACATGCTTGTAATTCTAGCACTCTGGAGGTTGAAGCAGGAGGATTGAAAGTTCAAGGTCAGCCTTAGCAATTTAGTGAGGCCCTGTCTCAAAAAAAAAAAAAAAAAGTAGCTTAGGGCTAAAGTGCTCATTGGTTTAATCCCCAGTATCAAAAAAAAAAAAAAAAAAAAAAAAAGATTGAAAGCTAAACCACGAAAATAATCTTAGCTTTAATCTTATAAACCTTTAAGGAATGTGTCCATTTATTGGCTAGGTGTTGCAACAGGATCTGTGCTGGTAAGGGTTCATTAGTGGAATTCTCATGAGCACACTAAACAAAATATATTGTAAGTAATAAGATAGATTAAAGTCTAATACTAGCCATCTATGTGATTTCACTTTCCTAGTAATCCCACAAACATTGTTTTTTGATTATAGAGGAAATTCATGAAGTATCTGGAGATTTTTGTTTATTTATTTTTGATGCTAGGGATTAAATCCTCCTGCTAAGCATGTACTCTCCCAGTGAGCTACATCCCCAGCCTTTGGAGAAACAATTTAAGAGAAGTAAAAACAGAGCTATGATGTAGAATTGTATGTAGCTATGGCTTTGCCCAGGATAGCAGGATGCTAATAGAACATTCCTTTTTATTCTGGAAAAGATGAATACAGCCCATATCCATGCACAGAGAAGCCAGGTGCCAAAAACTGGGAATCTACACAGCTCTCTGGGGTAAGAAATATCTGAGCTGAGCCATCACAGTGGCACAGGCCATAATTTCAGCTATTCAGGAGGCTGATGCAGGAGGATTATGAGTTTGAGGTCAGCTTGGACAACTTAGCAAGATCTTTTCTAAAATAAAATTTAAAAAGGCTGGCTATGCAATTTAGTGGAGAATACTTGCCTAGCATGTGCAAGACCCTGGGTCAATTCCCAGTACCACCAAAAGAAAAAAAAATCATACCGTTTCTAACATAGTTTTTTGAAACATGCACTTTGGGGAAATGGAATGCCATGAGAAGTCCTACTACTCTGAGATCATCATGCTGTGAGGAGCCCAAGCTCATCCCAGGGAGAGACTGCATGTATTAAGAGAAATACCTGGTCAGCTCCCAGATGTTCCTGCTAACCCAGATGAAGTGCCAGACATGTGAGTAAGGAATCCTTCATGGGCCAGGAATGGTGGCACATACCTATAATCCCAATGACTCAGGAAGCTGAGGCAAAAGATTGCAAGTTAGAGGCCAGCTTCAGCAATGTAGCGAGGCCCTAAACAACTCAAAATAAAACAAATTAAAAAGGACTGGGGAAGTAGCTCATTGGTCTCGCCTCTGGGTTCAAACCCCAGTACAAAAAAAGAAAAGAAAAGCCTCTTGCATGTCCAGTCCAGCCCAAGTTGTAGATGACTCTGACCCTAGATATCATCTGACTGCAACTGTACAAGGGACTCAAGCAAGAACTGCTTGAGTTACCCAGCCAACCTATAAAACTCAGGGATAATCATGCCATCATGYGTTATTCAAGTCACTAAATTTTGGATGGCTTCTTAGGCACCAATAGTCAACTAAAACTAGGGCCAATTATCTTGGTTAAGGTACTAGTAAGACAGTTCATCTAGTCATCTTCCTTGGTGTTAGTAAACACAAAACTTATGGAATTATGAATCAGTAATTGATTTTTATTAATTAACCCTCAATATTTAATATAACATTAAATATTATATTAATAATATAAATAATATTTAATATAAAAAATTAAATATTTATATTAAATATTTAAAGCAGACCCTTTAATACAGATAGTTTGAGAAGTACTGACTTATAATTTCTCATTTCTTTAAAAAAATTTTATTAGTTGTTAGTGGCCCTTTATTTATTTTTTTTATGTGTTGCTGAGAATCAAACCCAGTGCCTCACACATGCTAGGCAAGCACTCTACCACTGAGCCACAACTCCAGCCCCTATAATTTCTCATTTCTAATAGATCTCCCTTGATATTTTTGTCACTAATGAAGGGTTCAGAGGGAAAACTTCAGGACTGTCTCAAATTAAGAATTTATGTTTACACCATTTATAATAGCAGCCCAAATATTATATTTTTCAGAATAAACAGGTCTTTTTTTTTTTTTT